AAAACGAATAAAAATAACAGTAACTATCATCTGGAATTGGAATGAAAGCGTTGATGTCACCTACCGTGAATCTATGATAATAATGAACATTTACTACATACTTCAATAACGTCGGTAAGGAAATTAAACATCATGCTTGGGGTAAGATTTTCCTACACCGGATGGAGTTATAAATCCAAACATTAGCCTAAGAACACAACTCATATTCTTAAATGTCCTGATCGGCTCGTCACTTTCATATGGTTATCTTCCATGACATGCAGCTCTTTCAGAAATGTCTAAACTGCAAACTCTATTAACCCTTTTGCAAATTAAAGGAAAATGATTAATTCTTTTATTATTTACGTTTTTCTTATTTTTCCAATGAAACATGCCTCAGTGTACATGTTACTAGTTCGTATGTCCATTCCACGAAGTCGTTCCTTGCAGATTGACCACAGATTCTCGATTGCATTAAAATCAGGAGAGTTTCCGGGCCAGTCTATACTACTTCAATTTGCTCACTGGTAAGGCTTGCTAGTGTGTTTGTGCAGCCTTAATAATTTTGTACGCTTCCTTGGAGTAACGTTCATCGCAGACAATGGCCGTAGGACAATTAATCGACAGTTGAGACAATAGTGTCTGGGTGTGATAAAAAAACTGATGCAATCACGGATGGCGCAATATTTTAGAAGGCCAAACAAATCTCATCAAACATACCGAAAATAGATTTATATTACTGCACACGACTGCAAATGACCTAATCCGAGGAAAAAATAGAATTCGATTACACCCTGTTACTCCAGTGGCTTTAAAACTGAGAGTATCGTGAAAGAAAGGAAACTAAAGCGGTTGTTTCAATTAATTTGCACAATGGCGTAGTTGATTTCTTTCTAAATCATTTATCATTCTAATATTTTTTTACAAAATTGGCCAATAATTTCATTTATTCACCCTTTTCTTATTTATTGATTGTAATTTAAAGTATTTTATGGACGAGAATTTATTTTCAAATGTTTAGGAACAGCATTATTTCCTTTTGTTTACTAGTTTTGTTGGTTCAGAAAAGTCAATTTCTTTTTTTTTTTCAAACATTTACACAAAATTAACGAAAAAGGTCTCATATATTTGATGATTATATATATATATATATATATATATATATTATATTATGGTAGGATATATATATATAATATATATATATATTGTTGTGTAGTATCCCGCATACCATATAGATATGGTTGGTACTGGGAAGAGAGGGAGGAATCAAAGAGATTCAAGCAAAAGACTCTGCCCGACTGCGACTCAGTTAACACATTCTCCAGGAACGGTCTTACCAGGAATATACAAAAGATTATATGTAAATATTGTGTACACTTTCTTGTTTCAATACATTTTGTTCGAAGTACATTTTGTGTTGCATTATTATTCCATGCATTAGTCAAGTTTCAACACACACATATGTATATATATATATATATATATATATATATTGGAAGTATGTCCCAGCGAAAAAAAAAATCGCAGTGTGAGATAGGCATGAAGTAAGGCATGTAGTAACATCAACACGGCAAAGGGAACTCCTTTAAAGTCAAGGAAGGGCAAAAATATTTTAAGTCAACTGATACCGATTGCTGTATGATTTTTGAATCAAGCACGGGCAACGCTGGGCCATGCTGCCAGTATAAAAATATGTAGTACATTACAATAAAGAATTTGACATACATGTAAGAATGACACTGCATTTTCGGCTAAATGTCCGTCGGTCAAATGTTAGAGTACCTGGTCTTTCAACGTAATTTAAGCCAATATTTGATTTGATTCAATCTTCCTTATCTAATCGCGGAATGAAATCTATCATGAATGGTCATTCTTCTAGAACTTTTTACAGTAACGCTACTGCCCACCCCTCGCCCCAGTGCTCTATAAATGAACCAGCGTTGTCCCCAATTTTCATCAACAGGATTCCTTGACGTCATCCGTTCTCGATGATGGTTCTATGATTGATGACAACTATTTACTGCTGTTTTAATGTTAAATCGGGGTAGCTTGATATGATCAAATTGGCAGCCAATCTTAAAGTGACCTTCAATCTGTTGTTAACCGGGGCAAGGAATGGCTTTACCGTATCGCAAACGAAATTGTTCTCTTTTGATCATTTCGGTAACGTTTTCTGCTGATATGATGTGGGATATACCCTTCCATATTAATGCACCTAAATACAGCAAAGCCTGATTTAAAGGCTTACATGTTTAACGACACCCTCAGACTTACGACCAACTACAAGATCTCATCAAATAAAAATATCTAACCAGTTGCTATTGAACGTTGTACGGAAACTTTGATCGTGGAAATTTTCCCATTTTTCAGAATAAATCGAAAGTTAAAAATAGATAAACTTTTCACTTAGCGTACAGAATAAGGGAAGTGAATTTTTCGAATGTCTATCAGATTTGCTGTTCGGTACATATTATGGACTGTGTGAACGTTTAGAAATAAATTTGAAATGTTACAAATCTGACAATAAATCTATCTGAAGCTGGTTGACTCCAACCCATTACACGTGCAGTATGCCTGAAATAGCAATCAAGTACTCTTCACTTAGCGACAAGCGTGTTGGAATGGACCCGGTCGTTAAGTGAGGATTGATTATAAATTGGTTTAATTGCTTAACCTTCTGAGAAATGCATATGCCAATTTAATGCTATTGAATCCATTGCGAGTTCTGCTTGGAAACTTGAATAGCTGTGTCGTGGTAAGCAATTTTACCGGCAAGAAGCCATCTAGCCTAGCATTCGAGTTTGCATTGTATATTGCTCTCACGTTTACTATTGTGCTTCTGCTATGGATTTAGAGATTATTGACAAAATCCAAAGAATAATCTGTAATTTACCGGTACTTAATTGGCGGCATGGTCTCATCTTCTTACTGTGTTCTTGACAAAAATGGTTCTTCTCTCTTACTTCTAGCAGCTTGCTTTCCATTCAACTTTATATAACATTCTGGCAGAAGAAAAGCCCATCTTGACTGGAGTAAAAATTTGAAAATCAATGGTGACGCTTTCCCTGACCTGCCAACTGCACACTTTCACGTATCAAATTCCACTGTTTGAGTTCTGAAGTCAAAAGCTCAGCACTGGAGTTTGTGAGACCAAGATCTCTAATCAGTTTGTTGAGGTCTTTTTGGTTGGGGCAGTATGGTGTTCTCTCCTCAGTTGCGCCTCTGTAATCTTCATCAATGACTTCATCTTCATCTGAATTGCTGTTTTCTTATGAAGATGGTTACGGGGAGTTCAGCGCAGTGTGGCTCTAGGGCAATGGATGACAGAAGGTCTGGATATATGATAGCAGACACATACTTTCCAGATTGACATTTGGTGGAGTCGAACGTGCAAAAGAAGCAATTGCTTGAGTAGTCAGTTGGTTCACTCCAATTTCGGGAGATTGCGCATTTCATGCCAGAATTTCCCCTCTGCATTATCCTGCAAAAGAACAAAATAAAAATCTTAGTATAAAAATTTTTTTAAAATATTTTTCACCCAGAGTTATTGAAAAATTACATTTTTGATTTTCGACATTTTTTTAAAATTCTGTACTGAATTAGTAAAATTATGACTTTGGACCACAATTAATATAGCAAATACCACCTAAATACGAAATCTTAAATACTAAGCAACGCTAATCTTACGTATTTTTATGGCTCTTAACAGTGATTTTATATTGAAAATATCCATGATAATGGGACACTAATGTGCAGTTTTGGGCACGTGGCCAAGTTGTTAGAACGACCGCTTTCTGACCCATGACCCGATTTCGAATCTCACCAAGGTCGATTTATTAGGAAGGTGAATTCTTGATATTAGCAACTGGAGGAGCGATACTATCATTCTTGAAAGCCATATCAGTGTTTGACCCAAGCCTTGTGACTGAAATCGAGTAGACGGAACCTTTGGGAGCCGTCAGTGATTGTGCTAGCACGTAGTCATAAGTCATCATGACCGAGGGTATGAGCGTGCTAGCCTTTTTCAGACAGTTAATCACGCTAGATAACACGCTCTCTCGCTGAAACTGTAAATAATTTCCGCTCAGCATAGTTGCAGTATAAACAACAGGTGGTCTATGTGGGTTTTTAACAAAAACAAATGTGACTGAGCAGGCGTCTGCAATGGGGATTAGACAGCCGCACTGATAGACTAGCATCTTCGGATACGAGTGACTGCATCATTTGCATGTAATCTGCGATTGTTTAAACATATTTGATACATATCTTTCAATAATAAAATAAAAGTAAAAAAAATGTATTTAAATTTAAAAGATTCAACTATGCAAGCAAACAAAACTTTCCATCTTATATACTAGAGTTCTTTTTTCAGATTTTGCAGGTGAACTGAGGTGCCTCGGGTTTGTTTTCATCCCCGACATGCATGCCGACGTATACCTTGTAGTTCTCACATATTTTAGCAGATGTTACCTCAGAGTACCTTTTCGCTCCTGTATTGATAAATTCGCCTCTAACATAGGAAACTTTGGCTGCCGGATTTGGCTTACAACCTCTTGATGTCATCTGTGAGGAAGGCATCTATCAACGACAACTAATCTGCACTTGCACAGCTATAAGGAAAACTGAACGGTTGAGCTTATGTGTTCTGCATTTATACTGCCGTCTATGATGCCAAAACGTTCTAGAAATTCTTGAAAGTTCACGGAATTCTTGAAACTTCTAGTAAGTTCTAGAAACATATTCGTCAGCAAGTCAGTAATGAACCTGGAATTTAATGGAAAATAGTTCAGTTTCAATATATCGATATCTAGATCATAAATGAATAAACATTTGCTGGACATTGCTATCGTTATACCAAACACACATCCAAGCTTATAGCACGTTGCATTCCCAATTGATCACCCATCCAGGTACTGATCAGGCTCGAAGTTGCTTAACTTCGGTGATCTCTTCAAATTGGAACTCGGCTCTACGATTAACAATTCCTTGCCATTATCCATTACACCACTCGCACAGCCAAGTTTACAGCACCTGGTATTCCCAAACGGACACCCATCTAGGTACTGACCGGGCTCAGCGTTGCTTAACTTCGGTGGTGATGTGGCCGTAAGCCGGAGCCAATGGATGTTTCTGGATACAACACAAGAGAAAATTTTCTCGTCATTCTAGAACTCACCTCGGTTTTTCGAGTTTAGTCACACCTTTATTTGTATGATGTTGATCTTTACTCGGATTCTTCGATTTCCTACGGTCTTCCATACCCATCCCAGTGCTCTGAATATTACTGGCATATCCGTCACCTTAATCTTTTGCTTAATTTCTTCCCTTTTCTGTCATGCTCCACATACTCTCATTATTATTTCGTGTCGGTGAATGTTTGCCTCGATGTCAAATTATTGGCGTTGGGAATCGTGTGACAATAAATTCATTCAAATTGGAAATCAAACGGTCACCCATTTAGGTACTGACCAGGCTCAGCGTAGCTTAACTTCGGTGATCGTATGTTTCAACGTGATGTAGCGTTAAGGAGCTGTCCATTACGTCCCTCGCATATCTATGCATACAGAACCTGGTATGTCCAACATGTTACCATTTCAAGTATTAACCAAGACCAACGTTGCTTAACTTTGATGATCGCAGGGTAACCGCTGTTTAAAAATTGATGTGGCCAGATAGATAGACTGGTAGATAGTTACGAACAGATTGACATAGATAGGTTGGATGTGCGGGTGGTGTAATGGATACTGGGAAGAATTTGTTAATCGGAGAGCCGAGTTCCAATTTGAAGAGATCTCCGAAGTTAAGCAAAGCCGATGCTGGTCACTACCTAGATGGGTGACCGCTTGGAAATACCAGGATGTAAGCTTGGATGTGCGGGTTGTGTGATGTATAATGGCATGGAATTGTTAATCGTAGAGCCGAGTTCCAAAGTTAAGCAAAGCCGAACCTGATCAACTTCTAGATGGGTGACCGCTTGGGAATACCAGGTGCTGTAAGCTTGGATGTAAGGGTGGTGTGATGGATAATGGCATGGAATTGTTAATCTTAGAGCCGAGTTCCAAAGTTAAGCAAAGCCGAACCTGATCAACTTCTAGATGGGTGACCGCTTGGGAATACCAGGGTGTAAGCTTGGATGTAAGGGTGGTGTGATGGATAATGGCATGGAATTGTTAATCTTAGAGCCGAGTTCCAAAGTTAAGCAAAGCCGAACCTGAGCTTGGATCAACTTGGATAAGATGGGTGACCGCTTAAGCAAAGCCGAAATACCTAGAGGTGCTGTAAGCTGTAAGCTTGGATGTAAGGGTGGTGTGATGGATAATGGCATGGAATTGTTAATCGTAGAGTCGAGTTCCAAAGTTAAGCCAAGCCGAAACTGATCAGCACCTACATGGGTGACCGCTTGGAAATACCAGGTGTTGTAAGCTTGGATGTAAGGATGGTGTAATGGATAATGACAAGGAATTGTTAATCGTAGAGCCGAGTTCTATAGATAGATAGATAAGTCATCAGACTAGATAGCTAGGTATGATGGAATGAATGAAGGATTAAAAGTAGAAAGGAAGGAAGGAAGAAGCTATCGATTCCCAAACAGAAGCACTATATTAAAATTCAATATTGAGCGAAATAATAAATTGATATTTTCTCGTGATCACAGGCAATCATCTTCACCAAAGGCTTTTTTTTTCATGGGGAAATAAACGGTTATTCTGCAAAGGAAATGGCATTTATTCTCGCCAAGTCTTCTACTCAATTAATTTAGAGACCAAGCAGCAAGCGTGTTCACATTATGCCTAGTTCTTTATATCGTATTTATTTCCATAATAATTGTTCTTAAAAGGCCTCGTTTTGCGACCAAGAAATTTTTATATGCAATAAATAATAATGGGCTTCTGGACTAAAGAAAATTAGTTAAAAGCCAGGTAATGGCGGAAAACAAAAACAACGTGTCTTATTCAAATGTAGTGTCATGTGTCATAACAGAGATCAAAGGATAGCTTTGTTTCTTTATATATATACATACATACACACACACATATATATATATATATATATATATATATATAGGGTTAATGTAAATATAAAATTTGTCACATAACTGATTGATGTTATATTCAGTAGTAGGAATGTAGATTTGTACACGAACCTTTTTGTAATCTTTATGTGTGTGTATATTGATATGCGTGTGTTGCTATATATACGCGTGTGTATGTGCATGTGACTACACCTGTACGTGTGTGTATGTGTATATGTGTAGAATGTTGAGGTTAGTTCTCCTTTTCGTAATATTCTTGATTCTGTATAAACTCTCAATATTTTCCTTTTTTTCTTTCTCTCTCCCTCTTTCTCTTTTGACTCTGAGTATCAAACATCATTTAATAATGTTAGTTCCGGTGTCATAGACAATTTTTTTTTGGGGGGGGGATAATTTTTCTTGAATAATCTAGTGTTTTCTTATATTTGGAAAATATAAGTTGATTCGGTTTTATATTTTTTCTTGATTCGTAAATGGCACACACACACACACACACACACACACACACATACATATATATATATATATATATATATATATATATATATATATATATATATATATGTTGTGATTTTTCTAGAGTGAGCCGTCAAATTTTCGCTAGTAAAACTTAATATGACATTTACTCACTATCAACTTCTTGAATAATACGATCCTTATATTTGAATTGTTCACAGATGGAATTAATGGTCCTGAACAGAGTACTTTCGACAATTTCAAACTGTCATCTTCAGGGCGTAATATTTTCATTTACAGGTAAACGAAATAAATATAGTATAGACCGAAATGTAATATGCTATTTATTGACAGTTATATTATTTTGAAACGTGTGATGACGCAACGCTAGCGTTCTCGTTTAAATGATTCAAGAATTTTTGAATTTAGTAATCTGTTAAATTCACTAATTTTTGTTGTTGTTGTATATGTTTTTCAGTTAAAGTGACATGGACTAAAGAATAGTCCAATTAATACAGTAAAGTGTCTTAGCATTTTTTCAAAGAATTTTAGATCCTGAATCTATCTATCTATCTATATATATATATATATATATATATGTGTGTGTGTGTGTGTGTGTGTGTGTGCGCGTGCACATTTCATTGAATATAACAGACAAGGTGCTTTTTATTTAGTTTTTTTTATACAATTTCTCATGTGATCTAATAATTTTTTCTTTTCGGATGATAAATTATATAAAAACTGTCCGAATATTCTTTTTATCCGAGTGCATTCGGCTATACATTTAGCCATTTTCAAGGATTAAATATTTTAACTGTTAAATAAGAATTAGTTAGGCGTGAGTCTGAGATAGGAAGATCCTTAATATCCTTAGGTTTAGATATGAAGGCGAGTAGAAAATCCCTAAGCTTGAATATAAAAGGTAGAGGAAAACCCTTAAGCTTGTGTATGAGAGCGGAAATTCATTAGGATTGCCTATGAAATAATGGGGGGGGGTACCCTTAGTTTTAGATATGATGGCGAGAGGAAAATCCTTAAGTCGGAATATAAAAGAGAGATGAAAATACGTAGAATTTAGCATGAGAGAGGAAAATCCTTAGGATTGCCTATGAAATAGAGAGGGAAAACACTTCAGCTTAGATATGAAGGCGAGAGGAAAATCCTTAAGGTTGATTATGAAATAAAGAAGAAGAACCCGAGGCTTAATTATGAAATAAAGGGAGGAAAAAGCCTTAGGCTTTCATCTGAAATAGAGAGGAAAAGCCTTGGGCTTGAATATGAAAGGAAGAAGAATAATCCTTTGACTTGGATATGAGAGATAGATAGTGTTATGGTCCAAGGTTAGGACCATGGAAGAACAACACGAAACACAAGAGTAGAAATAACAAAGAATATATTACACGAAAAATAATACAAGAAGTGGAAGGTGTTAGTATGACTGTCAGACTGGTTGGGAGTGAACTACTATTAGCTCGACTCGATTCATTATCGTCCCATTACCGTTCGTCTCTCTTCAGACGCGTAGTATATATAGCGTTAGGAAGAGTTCATTCTGACGGTCTAGGTAGGCACCATGATAGATAGATAGATAGATAGATAGATAGATAGATAGATAGATAGATAGATAGATAGATAGATAGACTGAGAGAGAGATGGGGAAGAATCCTAAGGATATAATATAAACAAGATAAAGGAAACGCTATATTAAACTATAAGAAAGAGAGAAGATAAACTATGTATTTCATTGAAGACCGACTAATAAGAAGAGATAGAGAAAGACAAAATATGACGTCCAGGGTATGACGATAAACTATATCTTCATCCGAGGTAAGACGATAAAATACATCCAAAAGTAAGGCCTCTTATCGGAAGGTTTTGAGGAGGGTGAAACGACCTGTTAATTGCTGGTGTCCCCAGACCCGGGATGATAAGTTCCCAGCTATGGGCAAATAGTTAACCCCCAAACTAGGGCCAAAATATTATGAAAGTGTAAAAATAGGTTTTAATAACATGACTACTTTTTTGTAAAATAAAATATTACCAGCAATAAATTATTACCTGCATTATATTTTTCAAACAATAATTTTACCAGCATTACATTTTTGAGGAAGAGAAATGTTACTAGCAATACATTTTTGAAGAAAAAACAAGCAAAGCCTCTGATAGGGAGATTTGGGGGAGCGTTGAACCACCCCTAAATCGCTGTTGTTCTCAGGCCCACCCTCTAGCGCCGGTTAGGGTCTCAGATATGGGCAAATAGTTAACCCCCAAAATGGGACCAAAACACTATAAAAGTGTAAAAAATAGGTTTTAATGCCCGCAATATATCTTTTTAAAAATATTAACAGCAATGAATTTTTAAGAAAAACGTTATTACCAGTAACACATTTTTGAAAAAAATATTACCATCTATAAAAATCCTGTCGGCATTAAATAGCCCATTGAGATTGATATGCCGTAAAACAAAACATACTGAACCAAACCAAAAAGTATTTCTGGTAATATTTTTTCCCAAAAATGTATAACTGGTAATATATGTTTTTTCCAAAATATTGCCGGTAATATTTTTCCCAAAAAATATTTCTGGTAATAATTTAATTTATTGCTGCTAATATTATTTTTACAGAAATGTATTGCTAATATTAAAATCTATTTTTACACGTTTTGACTCCAATTTGGCGGGGTTAACTATTTGCCCATAGCTAAGATCCTAACAGGTGCTACCACTCCAGGTCAGGGTAGACCTGGGAACACTAGGAATTAAGAGGCAGTACCACGCTTCTCAAAACATCCTGACCAGAAGCTTTTATCGTCTTACTCAGGACGCTGATGTAGTTTATCGTCATACCCAGGACTCGGATGTAGTTTAATGTCATACCCAGGACTCGGATGTAGTTTCTCGTCATACCCAGGACTCGGATGTAGTTTAATGTCATACCCAGTACGCGAATATAGTTTCTCGTCATACCCAGGACTCGGATGTAGTTTCTCGTCATACCCAGGACTCGGATGTAGTTTCTCGTCATATCCAGGACTCGGATGTAGTTTATTGTTATACCGAGGACTCGGATGTAGTTTATCGTCATACCCATGACGCGGATGTACTTTATCGTCATACCCAGGACTCGGATGTAGTTTAATGTCATACCCAGGACTCGGATGTAGTTTCTCGTCATACCCAGGACGCGGATGTACTTTATCGTCATACCCAGGACTCGGATGTAGTTTCTCGTCATACCCAGGACGCGGATGTAGTTTATCGTCATACCCAGGACTCGGATGTAGTTTCTCGTCATACCCAGGACGCGGATGAAGTTTATTGTTATACCCAGGACTCGAATGTAATTTATCGTCATACCCAAGACTCGAATGTAGTTTATCGTATTACCCAAACGCGGAGAGAACAGAGTAACTTAATAGTGAATGGGACGAATAAGGGAGAGATAAGTGAAATACAGTACTGTATGAGATTAAAGAGGAAGGAGATTAAAAAGAAAGAAAATACACTGATAGATAGATAGATAGATAGATAGATAGATAGATAGAGGGAGAGAAATAAAGAGAATGAGTGAATAAGTGCAAGAGAGAAGAAATTGAGGAATGAGATAGAATTCAAAAAGACTTACGTCTTTAAGAATGGAGTTGATTGCTCAAAAAAAAAAAATCGCTTCGAAATGTGTGGTTTCGACAGACACCGGACATTCAATACGTGACTCGAAAGGGCAATGAGAAATCATTTCATTTTCAAGCCTTGAAAGCTTTCAAAACTTTTACTCTTTCAATTATTTTCTATGGTTATTGCCATATCGCATTCTTTACTTGTCAGTTCGAACGTTCTCCCTATTCTACCGATATCTATAGCTGGCCACTCATATTCAAGGATAGTCTTTTAAAAGGGCGGCTAGCCAATCCCTGTTCCAGACTATAGATCAGGCGCATTTCTGTTTATTCAACACCCAGAGAAGCCCACCTCTGGTTTAGACTGCAACTGATCAAACCTTAATTACAGTTTCTGGGAAAGGGCGTGTTATCTAGCATGATCGATAATTTGAACAAGGCCTGATCGATCACGCCCTCCACGACGATGATTGAAATATCGTGCTAGCACAGCTATTGGGTGCCGTCAACCCAATTTCTCTCACAAGGCTTGGCTCAAATGGTGGTAGGAGTGTCAAAGAATTTTCCGATCGACCCCTCCTTCGACCATGGAAAGATTCGAACCCGTGTCTCATGGTCAGAATGCGAACGTTCTAACTACTCGACCACGTGATATATCCTCGTTATATATATATATATATATATATATATATATATATATATATATATATATATATATATATATATATATATATATATATATATATATATATATATGAAGCAATGTAGTTTTAAAGTGTGCTATATTTATGGGATAAAGTGCTCAATATCAGAGATAGAGCGTATGTAAATATAAAAAGTGAACATTGAAATTAACACTTAGAGGCGACAAGCTGTTTCATGCTCGACGCAATCTTCAGGCCATGGGTGTTGTTTTTTTTCTCAGCTCTTGATATATACGGATCAGTGGTGCATTGTGGGTAGTCTATTTTGCCGGTTATTTTTGCTGGAAGTCATTTATTTGTTTATTTGGGTTAATTTATTTTGCTTGTTGTTATTTTTCTTTTTCATTATTTTTTATCTTATATATATATATATATATATATATATATATATATATATATATATATATATATATATATATATATATTTATTTTATTTTAATCGGTGTTTTATTAACGTAGTAAAATTTGTTTATATCGCTTATTTAATAGTTTTTGTATATATATATATATATATATATATATATATATCCACAGACAGACTGTTTTTCTGTATCACAGCACACCAGTATGTCTAGACGTCCAGTTGCCTCTAGCTAGGAGCGAAACTCGTCTGAATTGGCGAGGATTCTACCACTAAGCCGTTGGCGCACGACAGGGATGAAGGTGAATTTAAACTTATTTATTTCATAGTGACTGAGAGAACTCGATTCGATTTACCGAAGGGTCTTGCATTATTACCCATAATAGTCACTGTTTACAAACCCACATTTCCTCCCCAGAGAGCTCAACCGAAATAAATTTTTCAGGAGCATATATATTGTCAACCACAAACAGACTTTTTCGCTGTATCACAGCTCATCAGTCTGGTTATACTTCCGACGTTAATCTAATGGCCTTTTAGCAGCCAAAGCCAAGGGTATAAATAAAAACCGTCAATAAATGTTATATATTTACTGTTGCAGCTTTGTTCTGGACGAGTATAAGGATGTAGTGAGTAGTCTAAACCTAATTAGACACGTTCGAATTAACGTAATGCAATATCTTTAATACAGGCGTAGCCAAACCGCAGCTTGCGTGTCATATGCGTCTATTTGACCCTTAATATGTGACTCGTGGAAATGTGTTGCCTGAGCTTCTTTTTTATCACAGTTAATATAAAAGCTTATAAAAGAAAAATCTCAAGCTTTGTAATTAACTAGCAGTCATACCCAGCTTGTCCATCAGAAAAAGCATTCAATTAGAATGTAGCAAAAACAGCACCATGTTTAAATGTAACAGTGTCTATTTTCTTCAATTACTTTAAAGTACTTTCATTAAAAAAAACGTTTAGAATTAATGCATTTACTAATGTAACATAAGTCGTTTGTATTTATTCAATTGAAGTTAGCCAAGCATATGAAGGGTTAAAACAGGCAACATCAAGACACTATTCAGACCACAATTATTTTGGAGTTTTTGAAATTCAATTTGTCATTGTGCTACCAGGGATGTAAAAGAGGATACATTTATAAAGCAATTGTTAAGTTTGATGAAAATTGGTTGAAAGATCAACGAAAAATAAGAAAGAAACCAGTAAAAATCGTCGTTTTTCGCTATTTACACGGGTTTTCATTATGAGTGGACTCAGTTATCAAGTTAAATGGCTTTTAAACAATCATTGTTGGCTACAATTGAGTCAAGTATGTATTAGATTGCTGAAAATTGAGGGAGTATTTAGTTTAAAATTTGTGTTAAAATCGATTTGTGTTGAAATCGATTTTTCGTTTTTCCCGTTTTTTCGCTAAACGTTGTGGCATAGACATAAAAATGAGGCTGATCGTTGAGCTCGTCATGATGTAAGTAACCTACATAACGAGTTTGAATGAAATCGGAGGAAAACAGTTGAATTTGATCGACTTCATCAATTAGTGATTTTTTTAAAAAAAGTAAGGCTAAGAACCTATCTCTTACATTGTACAACGTATTTGCCAAGTATATATATATATATATATATATATATATATATATATATATATATATTACTGAGTATTGTGAACCCATTGAATTAAAACGTAAGTTTAATGTTAATGTTTATCTAGCAAAAACGTATATGCAAATTTTGTTCGACTTAAGCATCTGAACTTTATCGTTTGTGGCACCTACATTCAGCAAGTTTGGCCAATCCTGTACTAGTTTTAACAGCAAAATTTTTCAGATCGTGTTACGTCATAATTAACCACCACAAAAAGTGTTTAATATCTAAAAAACCACTAAACTATTTTAGTTTTTTTTTTCTTCCAGTATTTCAGTTCAGACGTTTAGCCATCATGACACCATTTGTCGTAGGAATCACTGAAAAACCATTTGAGTTATTCAGCTAAAAAGAGAACAGGTCAAAATAGTTTTGTGTCAGACTCACTGCCTTCCCAACTGAGCAATGGTGAGAGGAAAATCAATCAGGCCTTCAGTAATGATACTAACATTAATACTCTGGCTTCCATCTTCAGAGTCCATCCAAGAATCATAAAGAGAATGGTGAATAAGTTTAAAAAATGAGAGAACAGTAGAGGAAAACTCAATCAGTAGGTCACAGAGATGAGTTGGAAAAGATCCAACTCAATTCATAATACATGAGAGAGAAGTTTCAACTACGACAGTCCATGGAGCAATGAAAAAAGATTTGAAAATGAAATCTTACGTGAAACCTGTGCGGCAGGACAGAAATTTAGAAGCTTAGAGACGGCGAAGATCATCTTGAATGAGTTGGAAATTGATTCTGGAATTACATATATATATATATATATATATATATATATATATATATATATATATATATATATATATTGAAATATTGAAATTCATTTCAATATTCCATGAGCTACGATCGTTAGCTATGATTAACATTAACACGTCATTTTTGTTTATGATCGATTTTATCACTATTCTTTTTTTAGTGTTTTCTTATATATATATATATATATATATATATATATATGTGTGTGTGTGTGTGTGTGTGTATGTATGTATGTATGTATGTATGCTGGACTCAACCTTCGTATTCGAAGTATGAGAGTCATCAACTCAGTTCCTAGGATCCGGAAGCCAGACACCAGCACATATTCGATTATAGTGTTGTAGGCTTTGTACAAAACCAACCACATTTTGTGAGGGACCGAATACAGAGAATGGTCCCCCATTTGCTACAGGATCCCTATACGACCCTCCGCAGGTTTTGAATTCAGAATTGTCCTCCTCGTAGACCATAAACCATCAAAGGCTATACAACCCCCTATGTCCATCTAGTTACACATAGAAGGGTTTGGGGGAAGGATTCATATATATATATATATATATATATATATATATACACTCGACTCTCCCGTCGAATTCAATGTATGAGGGTCAAGCAGATCAGTTCCTAGGAAACTGACAGCCCGATACCAGCACATGAGATTTGATTATGGTCGTGAAGTTTTTGTGCAGAAGCATCCACACTTTTTGAAGTACCGAATACAGAGACTTGGTGCACTACGTGTCACAGAGTCCCGGAACGACACACCACAGGTTGTGAATTCAGATTTGTCCTTCTCCTAAACCAGTTGCCATCCAAGGCTATAGAACCCAGTATAAATGACTAAAATCATTACAAAAATTCTAACTCCACTCCTTGGAACAATCTCTCCATCTCATTTCAATGACTTAGGCAGTTTAGTTTAAAATCTAAGGTAAAAGGACTTGACTGACTCATGCTTAGTCTAAATCTAAAATACCTTTACAGCAATGTCCCCGTTAAAAAAATGCCTAAATCTCCACGAAAATCATCGACACAACCAATGGAAAAGCTCCCCCTAAAAACAGATAGATTAATAAAAGTATGTCGTCTGCTCATCAATCAATGCTATTTCACATTTAATAAAGATTTTTACAAACCAAAATTTGCATTACCAATTCGATTGCCTCTTAGCGGAGTGATCGCATGTATCTTCTCAAAATTTCTCTAATCTGGTCATTCACAAACTATTTCACCCAAACACTCAACATACTTCCGATATATTGATAATGCTCTATTAATGTCTTTGTAATATTGATTTGCCTGTAGATAAGCTAAGCACAGTCGGACATGCAATAGAATTTACATAGGAAATGGAAGAATACAATTCCTTGTCTTTCCTACATATCAAGCTACACTGTGTTAACAACAGCTTAAACATATTGCCCAATGGATATCAACCAACAAAAAGTTCTAATAAATTTCTATTATCATCTTAACAACAAAATAAAATCCAGCATAATTATCGGTTCTGTTTAAGAGCACTCAAA